ACGCTCTCGCTCTTCCGTCATGAAGAGGGTGCGGAGCAATTGCTGGCAGTCTTCCCATGTGGGACAATGGGTAAACATAATGGACTCCACCAGGCCTATAAGACACTTGGGGTCCTCCGAGAAGGGGGGGTTCTGAGTCCTCCAATTATAGAGGTCACTAGACGAAAAGGGCCAGTACTGATATTGCTGAGCTCCGTCCGGATTGCCTGCATCAATGGCATGCACAGGCAGGACTGGCACTGCTCCTTCTGAGGTGGAGGAAGGAGCCTCCCCTTCCTGTTCCCTGGCCCCCCAAGGCCTTAACTGCATTCCTCCCGCTATCCCTGGCCTCCTGCCTTCTCTTGCTGGAGAGCCCGGAAAAGCTGCGGCCATTCCTCCCACTCTCCCTGGCCTCCTATCTTCTCTTGCTGAAGAGTCTGGAGAAGCTGCGGCCACCTGGTCCCTGCTAGGCACCCTAACCTTGTTTTCTACCCCCTTGGCAGCTTCACCCCCTCCCTCCCACGGAGCCGCATACGGGGGTGGTCACTCAATTGGCAGAGGTGGGTAGAGGGGAGAACTGTCAGGGAGAACAGGCGGCGCACTCAGGCACACAGGGTTTCTGGCCCTGCGATCAGAGGGCTTTAATTTTTCCTGGGCGACTAGGACGGAGGTCTTTAGTGGGTCAGTGTGAGGTTTCCCCACCAAAAAGGGCTCCAGCCAGGAAGGAGGTTTCTCAACCAGATTTTCCCAGACAAGGATATAGGGAAATTGGTCAGGGTGGCCCTCAGGGTCTGGCCGGGAGATAATGGCCTTGACTTTGCCGATAAGGTCCAGGAAAAGAGACCCCTGGGTCAGCCAGCCTACTCCAAAGGAAGGCCACTCGGCCGAGCAAAGGGTGTCGAGCTTACCTTTCCTGATGCCAAGGCCCATATTTAAGGCCCGTTCCTTGACCTTCGGGAAATGGGAAAGGATCAGACCTTTAGGAGTAGCCTGAGTCTGGCCCATAGTGAAAAATATGAGGAAGACAAAGGTGAAAGATAGAGATGCCACTCTAACAAGATGACTGGTGTATGTGCTTGTGAACGGGTGCCTGTTGTTGCACAGTTTTTCTTCTGTGGGGGACGCAAATTTATCTGGGATTTGCAGCTGTGACCCCCTTATCCTGTCACGGGAGTCTTGTAGCGGCGGGCACCCTAATGACTCTTAATTGCCTGACCTGTGCCCGCGGGGAATGATTTAGTGGCAGAAAGGAGGAATGGAAAGAACAGGAGAAACTTAGAACAGGGAAACTTAAAATGAAAAGCGCAGAAAGAAATATAAACCGAAACCAAAACACAATAAAACAATCAACGATAACACTAAGCACACACACCACATCTGATCGCACTCGCTCGGACCGGTCCTTCTCTCACTCTGGTGCGCACCACACTCACCACTTTCAGGATCCCCAAAAACTCTTGTGATTCTCCCAAAAGGCATCCACTCGGACTGCCGCAGGGTGACAAGCTCGATTTCTTCCTCCTCGGGCACCAGGTTCCTGCCAATCGGACTTGCCTTCCTAAGGCCGAGTCACTCGGACCCTAGGGCCAGGATTGGTCACCTGGACTTCACCCAGGGTCACTAACCTGGGGGCCGGGACTACCAACCCGGACTTCCTCACTCGGGGTCACTAACCCGAGACCATACACAGGATGGCGACTCTTGCTTTATAATGGATTTATGCAGACACGAGGGGGTGACCCTCGAATTACACTGCCCCGTCTGGACAATTAGACCTTGCCTCCAGCCGTCCTTTGTTCTCAGGGAAGCCGCTCAGATCCCGGACGAGCCCAGAAATGTTAGGGTCCAGGACTCCGGGGTTTCCCCAGAGAACAAGCCGCACAGACACAGAGATGTAAATCCAAGCAAAGTCTTTATTCAGCCAGCAAGCTGGGGCCAACAGCACCTCCCCTGACACGCAGGCCGAGTCCAAGCTGCCAACCCCCAAGCAACTTTAGGTAGGGAATATACAGGGTTTTCGCAGCTGTTGCACCGAAGCCCGCACATTACCACAACCAATGAATTAAAAACACATTCTGCATTTTAGCCAATGGAGTTGAAACGGGAATGCCTCGGTTACCTAACTGCTTCCCGTTATCTCTACCTCACACAAGCATGTCTTCGTGACTTATCACAGGTTATGTCCTGAGGCTACTGCCCACCTCTGGTTATCTAACTTAGGGCAGGCGTGTTAGCTTCGGGTAGTTTCTATGAAAACTGGGTGGCTATTGCTCTAGGGTTTCCTGACTCTTGATACTCTCTGCACTCCTTTACAGCATGATGCAGGAAAGGGCTGAGAAAGTTGCACAGCTCCTATGGAGGGCAATTTCCCTGACAGCCACTTCAGATGTGGCCAAGGAAATCATGGAAAATAAGGAATCTCTCGGCAGGTAAAGCCAGATGCCAAGGAGAACAACAGACAAGGCCATTACTATAGGAAATGGGATCATGGCCAAAACAAGGAACACTCTCCATTCACAAGCTAGGAAGCACAAAATAAGGCATTTTAGAATTGGAACAGAACAATGTTTGCAGTGTGTTTCTCATGCTTCCCTCTTTACTTTCAGAATGGGAGTGCTTATTGTGGTTATCCTGCTTCTGGTCAACTAGTACATAAACTGTGTGTCAAGGGCAAATAACTTTGCTCCATGCTCTCCAGGTCAATCAGAGCCACATCTGGATCTGAAGCTGACCACAGGGTGGTTACAGAGATGTCACAAGTAAATGGGATCCAGAGATTATCTCCCTTCAGGCACAAGTACGTGTAATTTGTGTGCAGAAAGGAGAATGAACCAAATATCTAGGCAGTCATCAGTACTGTTTACCAACTATTCCTGGTACTTCTCTTTCCAGGCACATGAGAGTGAGGCGGGAGTTAGTGGGACAGAGGCAGCCTTGGAATTTGTGGCCCCAGTAAGGGGAAGGCAGGAGGGAAATAGGCCCAAGGCCTCACAGTAAACATGGGGCTACATCCTGGGCATCTAGCTAATTCAGTGTGAGAAGCAAGGGGCTACATCCTGGGCATCTGGAGAATTCAGCCTGAAAAACAAAGGCGTCTTCCTAGCAACAAGCCCCTGCCAATCCTGTAAACATCCTTCTTTTTGGCTTTTAAACACTAGACACTAAAGCCCCAGTGGCCTCTACTCTTGGAGCCCCTCCTGTTTAGAGGGAGTCTTTTTTTCTTTCCTTTTCACTCCTCATTAAAAACTTTCCTAGTTGCTCCATGTTCTTGTCTGCTGGCCTCACTCTCTGTCACCTCCAAGACATGATCCTGGGGAAAACAGCATCTCAGCAGGTAACAATAGGATTACATTCTCCTGCCCAGTTAGTAAGGTAAAGCTCTGTGATTCGCTTTGAACATGAATGTGTGTTACTGCCAGGCGGAATGTTTAAGAGCCATTTACACCATGCTTTCTCCCCTCTCTTATGCCAGGTGGTAGAGTCCAGCAGCCCCGGGGCCCTGTACGTGGACAATGTGGGGTAGATCTTTCACTAGCCTGAAGGAGAGACGGAGTATGAGAGGAAAATTAGCCTTTGTTGTTGTGTACATCTTCCCTCTATCGTGTAGCCTGTGAACCACTAGCAAAGGCTCACCTGCTGAGAAGGAAGCAGACACTCGGGAGAGACAGAGAAAAAAACGGTCTCAAAAGCTTTTTATTTCAAATTAAAATGCTTACTGAGGATCTCTCTCATTCCTGCCCTTGGGTGTCACAAGACACCCTTTATCCATTTAATATATATATGCCTCCTCGAGTTTTTGTTTTTTAAATTAGGACAAGTTAACTTTACTTTTTAAAACCCAAGAGTTGAAACATTCGTTTACAAATCTATTAAGCTCCTTATGCCACAGAACAGAAGAAACAAACGGGAAAGCATGGGCTACACTGAGAGAATGGCGGGGATCCAGCCCAAGTGGGGGCGTGGCAGAGACAAGAAGCCAAGTGCAGGCCGCCCCATCTCCTCTTCTCCCCAGCCCAGCTAGACTCCACTTCCTGCCTCTTTTGTCATTCTTGAAGCAAGCGACCAGGCTGCCGCCAGTGGGATGTGCACAGCTGATCTGCCCCACCTCCCACACACAACCCTCCCACTTTTTTCCCTTCAGCAGCTTGACACAAAAGAGCAAAGTGACTCAGCAGCCGTGCACTGAAGACAGCAGAGCAACAAAATGAAGTGCCTGGGTTACCGAACGACAACAAGAAAAGCCAGTCACTGGCAAGAACACCTGCTTTGTGACCAATGTTAGCTTACCCTCACTCACACAGGGAAAGGAGGGAGTGGGAGAAAGTATTTTATGCTGAATCGGCCCTGCGTGGTTCCTGCGTACCTCCTTGGATCCTCCCGAGAGGTGAAAGAGGTATAATGAGGCTGTCCCTATTTTTCAGAGGGATTAGGCAAAGTTCAGACAAGCTAAGTTGCTGGGAAAGGGGATCACACGCCACCACCTAGCCAAGTTCAGCCTCAAATACAGACCTCCTGATTCCCAGAGATCTTTTTGTCCACACGTTACACTGAATGCTGAAGATTCCCTCTTAAACTGAACATATCAGTAGCCAGTCTAAATCTCTTAAGTAGTAAACAGATTATAAAAAGGTAAAAGAGAAGTTAATCCTCCCTCAAGACAACCCTACTATCCCATTTACCTCTTCATGCCCAATGCTCAGGCAAGAACATGGCACAAGGGCCTTCACCAGTGTCTGTAAAGGTTTTAAAAAAAAAGTTACCAAGAAACAAAAATTCAAATGTACACCACACCAAAATGAAAGAACAGCAAAAAAATGCGTACATCTTTCACGTGTAGCCCAACCAGAATAAGACTGTAATCCCATCAAGGGATTTATTTGAACAACAATTTAATTGCACCCTGTGGGTAAGCCCGTTGCAACAATGTGAAGACATAAAATTCCGAGAATATCTGGCAACTTGTACATTCATCTGATAACACAGAGTATTCTGTAATATTAAGGAATGAAAAATAAAACATGTTGACTTTCAAGTTGGGATAATTTATTTGCACTTAAAAATACAACTTTTAACATGACATCTGTTTTCAAAAATGACTTAATGTTAAAAATAGGCTACAGTAACTGTTGTCTTCATGTTGAAAATTTAGATCACGTAGCACTATTAGCTTACAAATCATAGATGATAACATTAACACAAAATCAGCAAGTGATTACTCACTGGGAACAGTTTTTATATTAAAAATATCAGAAGTTCACAGTTTTCTTCTTTCTTCTCTACTTAAATTGTTAACACTTTTATAACTACAATCTATTTCACTTTCTGGTTCCAGATCCAATGCCTACTTGATCAGCAGATGGATGCCACCAACACATTCATCTTACATACAACTCACACATCTTCAATTTCTAAAAATGTTTTGCTCTGTAAAACTGTGAGGGAATGGGAAAGATAGGAAACTAAGTTCAATTATAATGAGAAGAGAAAGTGTGAGATAAGATATTGACAATTTTTACTAAAAAAACATTGAATTATAAAGTACATACAGGTAGACTGATGATTCCACAGGAAACCATACATTGATTTACGAAATCTATGGCCTTTATTTTTGTTTAATGCAAATAAAAGTGAAAAATACACATTATCAAATAATTTCAAAATCCCCCTACTTATGTCAAGGTAATATTAAGGGTATTTAGGTGACCAGATCACAAGACAGGCCTATTTGTTTGTGTGTTTTAAGGCAAAGCAACATTCCCCAAGTGATGTACCTACAAAATAAATTTGCTTTGGAAATAAATTTCAGTAATAAAATAATACTTCTCACTTATTAAATATATATATATATTTTGCCTTTACATATGATTTAGCAATTTGCATCAAAAAATTCAAGAGTTCTATGAACATTTGCAAATAAATATTTTAAAACACTAGTATATAAATGAGTCAGCTGGTATTAATTCAGGTGATTGGATGTCAACTGTTAGCAAAGGGAAAATAATAAACTACTTAGTTATAAAATCTTCCCCTAACACAACATGAGAATGCAACATATTATTGAGAATTCAGGTAATTTTTCTGGACAGCACGTATCAGTGAAACACATGTGTTCTCCTTATGCAAATCAAGGTACCCAATGGTACTGTTTTCTTAAGCCATTAAACCAATAGCCTAAGAGTATTGGAGTATATACTATAATCTCTCTTGTAAATGTAAATTATTCTCTTAAAACACAAATCTTTGTACAGAAAGCAACTGTCTACTATGAAGAATAAAATCACTTCAGGAAAAAGGTGAAGTAATTATTGAAAAATGTTTGAACACATTTACTATACCCCAAATTGCCACCTGGACACTTGGCTCCAATAAAGATAAGAGTGAATTATAGGCATGCATGATATTCAAAGCAGGGAATGTCATCCCTTCAACTTGAGAAAGGACCTTCCAGCATTTCCAAATAATGGAATTCCTTTAAAACTTAAATGATAAGCAATATTCTTAAACATGCTCATTGTATCCAATTTCTCTGGCTAACATTTTGTTTTTTTCTAAATGATACCAAGCAAACTACCAATAATTAAAACCAATTTACTAGAAAATATTAAGTAGCAATAAAACAAAAAGCTCCCACTGAAATATGCCAGCATCCCTAATATTCATCCTTTAAATTACGTGTTTCTAAGAACTACTGGATTAACATAAAAGGTGTATTGTATATTAATATGCAACAGGTTTTACTTAATGAAGCTTGGTATTAGAGTACCTTGAGTTTTCCTATTAAATATCCGATCTATAGGCATTTGCAATCATTGTTTATTAGTTAAGCAGAGGGAGGCAGCTGCTTTGAATTTTCCATGCAAAGTCATGTTACAGTATCACTGTGCTGACACATTTGTAAACTGGACAGAAAGGGGATTGAGCTTCCTGTGAAGCTAGGTCCCCATACCCCTTTGGGATATATCAGGCCAAGAACCTGCTCAGCCTTCTGAATCCACAAAATAGTCCTTGCATCATTTCTTTCTGTAGTTACGAAGTTATAAACAGACTGGAATAGACCTCAACACCATCAAGATCAGACAGCAACTGCTCCACACAGAAGGTATTTTCTCTCATGAGAAATTCTGATGTGTCCTCTTCATTACAATTCAAGTTCAGCATTCTGAACAGCAGATGTATAACAGACAAAACTACTAACAATGGGAGGCAGGAATAGGGTTTCACGACAAGCAATCTAATTCATAAAAAAGAAAATACGTAAATGGTCTAGGGGAGGCGGAACAACCTGGAGAAAAATCCTGCACTCCTTTGGAAAGGAAAGTATCAAACACTGTCTATTTAATATTAAAGCTCTTTTCTATTGTCTGTTTATTTGTGTACCTTATCAAGAAACGTCTAAAGAGATTTAAAATATGTCAATTATATATATGCATATCACCAGAAAGCATACACATTAAAGATATTAATAGGCAACAAAAGCATAAAATATGTAACTTGAAATAAACTATCAATTCTTTCTCTAAGTGGGTAACTAGTTATCTAAAAATCTTTAAACAGTAATCTTGACCTAGCTGAGTCAATGTTGGAATATTGATAATATGAAGGGACTGAAAAGGTTCACCAAATTTTTTTAAATAACATTAATCTTAGAAAATAATTTTAACCATAAAATCTACTAACATCTTTAAGGTGAAAGTCACTTCTCTATAACTCTAACAGTTTGTGCTGTTGCATCTGAAAAAGCAAGGAATGTCTGTAAAATCAGATTAAAAGTGTCATCTTAAAAATAAGGTCTCTTAGACTAGCACACAAGGAGCTCTGGCGGTGTGGGGATGGCAGGTGGAGGAGGAATAAAGTCCGAGTGTGCCAATGATCCTGATCATATGCAGAGTAAACACAGTGAAATGACGGTTTATGGGCCCTGAAAGAAAAGAAGCAAACCTCACCTCACAGATACATAACTGAATCAAACTGACAGTGCAGCTGTGGTGACGCGGTGATCATTATCAGACAGCAAGGAAAACCCTATGACCCTGGGAGGCCTTTACTTTAAAAAGCACTGCAGCATGTGTAAACAAACGCTCCCTGACACTCAGCCTCGTTCCGACACGGGCCGCTAGCCATGTTTCAAGTGCTGGATAGCCACGTGTGTTGGGAGGCTGCCGCACCAGACAGAGCAAGACTGAGGGGAAACACCACTGTCTAAAGGATGGGGAGGAGGAGATCACTTCCCAAGATCCATTCCCAGCCCTGTGAATCACAAAATCTCAGGGCATCCAAACAATCACTCAAGTCTACAGTAACTCAGTTTGCCTAAATATGTTTGAATTTATGATTTAAAAATATGGAGAGAGTAACTATGGAAAAAATAACAGAAACAAAATATCAATAATTAATCAGAGTTAATTCCAAATATTTCTCCAGTTGGCCACAAAAATCTTTTTTTAATTATTATTTTTAATGTCCAAAAGAAGAAAAGCCACCAAAAACATCAACAGATTCAATTTAAAGGAATGATTCAAAGTAAGTGTTAATATTAATCACAGTGTGATTACCTCTAAAAGTAGCTTCAAGAAAGGAAACACTTTTCTTCGGAAGGGGGAAACTTTTTTCATTATATACACCCCCTGATTGGCAGCCCTAATCAAAGACTCATAGAGTGAACCGAGAGTTCAAGTTCCAGGCCAGGCAGGCATGACAGTCACACAGCTCTGCTAAACCCACTCCCTTGCAAAAAAGGTGGGTTAAACTATTAAAGTGTTTCAATGATTAAAAATCTTCTTTGACACTGCTTAATCTAGAATTTATCTCCCTACCATTTCTACCTATTTATAGAAGGGACTGAGTCAACAATCTTCTTTTTCCAAGGTAACTTGGGACCCTCTTATACCCAGGAGAAGCATAGAAACATTAAAATATATATCCATATAAAAGCTGACGTAGTTATTCTTCCATTAATCTTTGATTGTCAAGCTGAAATCATGCCTTCCTTGTCATCCGTGCTACAAAGCATAACCTCTACTTGAGTCTATAATTCTTACAGCACCAATCAGAACCCTTGCTCTTGATTTTTTTTTAAAAAGGCAATTATACCAAGAAGTATACAAATTACACAAACTGTCAAGACACATTGGCAGCTCAACCTCACCACATATGCCCCTCAAAACAGCAGATAAAACATTGTCACTTCAGTATTCATTCTTCACAAAAAGAATACTGAATCACTAACTCCAAAAATGCATTATTAGCTGATGTCACAAGAAATTGTTAACACCACAGTATTGAATATGGCAGGAAACATAAATATGTGTAGCATTAATGACACTGTAGCACTTCAAAATCAATTGGATAGATTATTCATATCACCAGTAACTCTAAACAGAATAGAAATTTAAAAAAACAAATGAGAAATTTAAATGGAAGATGTGAATTTCTTTTGTATTTGTTTGGTAATACAGAGTTAAAATAAAATAGAAATAACCATTATTAGCTTAAATTGTTTTCATTTTATATCAAAAAGAGAATTTTTTACTGAATTTTGTTCTGACTTGCAGCTTCTCACAAAAAAATATGGGTATTTATACTTTAAAAGAATGCTGCTGAAGTTCTAAGAAATTTATAAATATTCCTAACTTATATACAAAATAATTATTAAACACATTTTCCACTATTAACTGTAATGAGAGTTCATCTTTGTCTGGACCTAAAGTTATATAATTTCTATTAATACCACATATTAAGATCTACCACTATATTATCTGAAGGGGTGGATTCTGACTTGAGTTGCATTAATCAGTTTCCTTTGGAAATATCCTCAGTCCTAGTCAAGAATTAGTACCTTAAAGAAAACAAGGCCAATACCTTCTGGGTGCAGGTTCATATAGCAGAGAATAAATAGCAAGGAGCAAATTCATAATCTGGGCTATTGTCAGAGCCAAACACATGAATAAATTTAAAGGTTTTAAATTTCCAGGCTTCTTTCATTTTACATCAGAGACTAGACTCACCCCATACTTCTGTGCCTATATTGCAATTAGTGTATAAAAACAATGATTATTACAATTCATATTCATACAGCCTTTCACAGTTTACAAAAAGCTATGATCTAATTGGGCCCTCTCAAGCACCAAGCACTCTGTTGCTATCCCCACTGGGGAAACTGAGTCCCAGAAAGGGTGAACGACTTACTCTATGTTGAGGAACTAAAGCAGATGGGCTTCCACCTCCCAGTCTGGGACTGTTTCTGTTAAACTGCAGGGGCATCCACAACAAGTTATTCTTCAACATAGATACAGAAATAGGACAAAACCCTGATTCATGAATTCAGGAATTGTTTTTCCTCATTCTGGATACAATCATGTCCTTAACCGTAGCACATACATATTGAGGACTAGGGGAGGGGACGGCAGATAGTGATGATTGCAAAAAAGAATATACACTAAGTGGGAATGATCTGGGGTAAACATTTTAACGTGTTTGCTGAAAATAAATACCGAATACAGAGACTCACAGTTAAAAAACTGAAAGAGACCTTGAAAGTCATCTGTGTTTCTATTGCACAGATGAGGAAACTATGCCGATACACAGAGCAGGGGGCTCCCAAAGCAACACCCTGGCAATTGCTACCTGGTAGCAGAGTCAGGGCCATAGAGTTGGACTCTCTTCTGCTCTGTGCCAATTGTGTTTCCCAATTAAAGGACTAAGCACAGTCCAGGTATTTATAAGGAACCATCATAGTGCTCAAGAGATTAGAAAATTAGATCTTAATCACCAACATCATAGTGCAAAAATTATTGATATTTTACATATCATTTAAAGCAGCAGGAAGCTTTACTTTGCTTCTTATAAGAAAAATTACTAATGTACCTCGACATTCATTTCTAAGGTTGAGGATAATTTCTAGAATATAACTTTTTCTGCCCCTTAGATACAAAGTTTTTTAATTTTGTCACTATAATAGACTTAAATACATTCAAAGACAGAATAGTCTCTCAAAAATGTCACCACTTTTAACTTACATGAAGAATAAAAAACCAAAACAATATTTTGTCATCTTTTCCAGATATAGGTCTTTTCAACCAGCTAACACATTATCCCATCCCTATTCACACCCACTGCCTGTCTTTTTCAGGAGTCTTCAAAAGATTATTGTTAAGCTATTTTGAATATAGATTTTATTTCCCCTTTTAAATTTAAATACTAGACAACAAAGTATCTCTTAAGTTTAACTGACCACCAAATCTAAAACTGGCTCATCTTGTAAGCCATTTTGCTACTTAAACATCAATTTCCACATTAAAAAAATTAATAACCTAATTAGACTTTATTGTACCTGTGTGTCCTTTAAAAGGCTTCTTCACCCTCCAGGTCAAAACTAATATGAAATTCTTTCTGGAGATGCAAAATATAAGAATTTTCTAGATAGTGTTGAACAACATTACACAGGGAAAAAAAATCATACAGACCAACAGTAAACCACACAGATGATAGAAAATATTGACAATAAAATTAGTTTTTCATCTCTCATTCACAAGATCACTTTTCCACTTTAGTATGTCTAATCTATAGCACATGCCGGTGCTGAGGGAAAATTCCATCCATCTTGTTCTAATCAATCTGAGGAAGGTTTTTTCCAGAGGTGAAGGGCTGCCTGAATTCTGAAGTGTAGCCTGGACTCCATGGAGTAGTCTTTGTAGTTGTTTCTAAAGACAATAATGATAAAATTGTGAAGTCAAAATTCCTGTGTATTCCAAGTCTTCACCACCATTCTCCCTTTCCTCTTATCTTCATTCCTTATTTGCTTTCAAACTTGAATACGCATAACAGTGGATCTTGTCAAAATGTAGATTCTGGCCCTGCAAGGGGAGGAGGGTAGCAATATTCTGTATTTCTAGAAGCTTCCTGGTGGTGATCTAAAAGTCATACTTTGGTAAGCCAAGTTCTATTTAATTACCAAGCCATTCACAAACCCGGCAAAAAGGTATGAAGAGGATTTAACAAATTTTGTGAACTCTTCCTAAATAGTGGACCTTTTCTAAACTTGAAACTTTAAGGCAGCTTCGTATAAGCAAGGGGAACATGATCAATCACTACCACCCCCCACCAAAAAAATTATCTTGAAACTCTCATGAAACAACAACTACAACAAAGACATCAGGATTACTTGGTGACACCAGAATTACTCCAGTTCTCATGGGCAAAAATCAACGGTGTGGCCAATAATTACTGGTTGCAATGTCAGAAGGGGCCACAGAAATCCACAGATCAGTTAAACGCTTTCTGTACTTAGATCATTCATGTTGACTTCTCTCTGCTAGAATTGTGAAGAATCAGCAAAATGGGATGGCTTCTCCTTGGGCATGCTGCCTTCATATACTGCCTTGGCCCAGGATGAGCTGTACCTTCTTTCTTTACAATCATTCATTCCTTTCTACAGCTCTTCATTCTAGTGGCCACTTACTGGTAACTTTGATTAGGATTACTGTTCATAAGCTAAACTAACATCTTATTGGAGTTTACCAAAGGATATAATTGAGTGTTTTCCTAAATGTTTGGCCACTAATTGTGGCAACTTTGTATAGCTCCTACTACATAAGGGAAATTGCAGACAATTAACAGTCTTGAAGTTACTGGGAAGTCTGTTTTAGTTGGCATCATCAGTTCTGATTTGAGTTAGTGGTGACCTTTGATTGCTGATGGTCTTGCTTTTTAGTAGCAAGTTTCTAGTCTTTTATTTTCATCATTATAAGTTTGTCTTAGTGGCCAATGTCCAAAGAATGAATACTTGGAATAATGGTATTTATAGTCCTTAATTTTCCAATTGCTAGATTTGAAGATACATACATGTCAGTTGATACATGCATCATTCTCTCACAAATTAAAAATGACTGTTATCTTACTTCCTTTAAAAAAAAGAAGCAGCTTCTCTTGGCTCTACCATGTCCCTGAAGCTTCCCCGTTTCGGTGCTTTATCCTGAAAGAGCTGGCTGAAGTAGCTGACTCTACTTTCTCACCTCACTTATCAAGGTCACCGATGATCTTCATGCTGCAAGATTCAGCAGCCACTTCTCTAGTCTCACCTTGCTTGACCTCTCAGCAGTCATCTTCACACCTGACCACTCTCTTTTTTCTGAAAAACTTTGTTCACTTGGCTTTCCTGGATGTCTTCCTAATTCACTGTCTACTTCTTAATCTGATTGTTTGATCTCTAAAATGATGGTATATCCCAAGGCTCTGTGCTGGGCCTCTTTCTCCAGCTCTGGTTTTCCCCAAAAATGAACTTATCAAGTATCATGGCTTTAAATATCACTATGTCCTTGTGACGTTGAAATCTCTACATTCGGCCTTGACCTTTCCACTGAATTCCATGCTTGTCTGTTTAACTGCCAATCTACCATCTCCACTAGGTACACAATAGGTACCTCAAAATATCATGGTCCAAACGAAGTTATGTTTTTCCACACAAAACCTGTTTCTCTAAGTATTCCCCATTTCAGTAAAAAGCGGCAATACTGACCTTTTGATGCGACCCCCCCCAGTCTAAAGTTTACCTAGCTGTGGCTTTAGCCAGGAATGCTCCTAACTCAGTCTCCTGGTGACTGATCTTGTCAGAACTGGCTTTAGTTACGCCAATCTCCACTACAATATCACCTCCTCAAAGAAACCTTCCAAAATCAACTGAATCTAAAGTAACACCCAAGTACTCTGCATCATATTATAAATCTCAGCAAAGCATATATCACTACTATTTCTCTTCTTTGTTTATTCAAATCTTTCTGCAACTAAGAAAGCAGAAACACTTCCTGCTTATGTACAGTTGTCTGTCTACAGCCCTTACTAGTGTCTGGCACATAACAGGTGCTCAGTGAATATTTGCTGAATTTGAGTAAATGAACAAACAAATGAGCTACTATAGATTTCTTCACTGCAAGAAGCATTCAAGGCAAGCAGACCACAGAGTTTTTGTCCCTACTACATGAGCCATGATCATAAGTCTGAGAGCCCTCTTCTAGCAGAAATGATAAAGTACTTTGAAATTACCACAGGAGACAGAAGAGAGAGTGAGGGAGAGATTCAAAGGGCTTCCTCACTTCAGTGGCTCTTCAAGGAAATGAGAGACAATGTTGAATACATGAAGGGTCAGCAAATTTTGAGCAAAATTATGGCCAGATCCAGACACACCCATTTCTTAACACATTGTCTTCTATGGCTATAGAAGATGGCTATACCATTGAGTAGTTGCAATGGAGGCCTTATACTGTAAAACCAAAAATAGTTACTATCTGGTGCTTCCCAGAAAAAGTTTGCTGCCCCCCAATATAGAAGAGAATAGGTTAGGAAGCTGTCATACAGATGCCCAAAACTGCAACATCTATCACAGGACCAGGCATTAAGAAGGTTGGAAATAGCATAATTACAGCAAAAGCCGTAAGCATAAAGTAAGGTAAGTTAGCAAAGGTAACCTTACCACTAAATTTTCATGACTGTTTTAACTTTTAAGTATATAATATTACCATTGTTGTTATAATAGTATAGATATTTTTGACTTCATAACAATCAAGGAAAAGCTGCCATCATCACTTACCTTGCAGTTTCTAGGACCTTTATAGCCTTGTCAATTTCCCCTTGGCTTTTGTACAAATGTGCCAACTCGAACAGAGTAAATGGCACTAGGTAGTGGTCATACTTCAGTAGCTTTTCACTAAAAGAGTAAATGAAAAGCAATTAAGAACAAAAAATGTATCATTCATTTTTAACATATATATTTTCCCCATTCCTCAGAAATCAGGAGCAGCACTAAGCCTATTATAAGAGAAAAGCTGTCATATAATCAAAGAATCTAATAAACTGTGGCAATAAAGAACACACTTTACTATATTAATCTTTTACTTTATCCCTTAATCTAAATCCAGCACTGAGGACTGTTTACTGCCTATTAGGTAGATGAAAGCACACAGATCTTCAAAGATTAACCCTGGAAAGAACAAAGTCTTATTCTAAACTTACGTATTCAGGAAATGACTCCATTCAGAAGTAAAACACTCTATGACTTTTGACTAAGATCCAATGCCCTTTGTATCATTAAGTCTTATAATGCTAAAAAATCTCAGTAGAGAAATGGTCAGTACTTCTGTTTTCAGCAATATTATGAAAACTCTCACTACAAAATATCTAGCAGCACTAAAAAAAAAAAAAAACATATGAATAACACCCTTCCAAATGCATAGCTCAGATCACAGAACATAAGAAAAACTCTCAAGCTGAAACTAAACAAAGCACAACTCTCAGTGTGATGCCAAAGCAGAGGTAAGGTCTGCTTCAGTATCAATCATCCAGAGCTCTGTGTCTCAATGACCCTGCAGGAGATGAAGCCTTGAACCCACATAAAGCAGGGAGCCAGGACTGAGACCCTATATCACCAGAGAAAGGATGAATTAGAAATAAATATTAATTAAAATGTTAATTAAAACTATTAATTAAAAAATATAATTAAAATAAATAATTAATTTTAAAAACCTCACTGGCATAGGAGGAAGACAAGGGCAGTTTGCTCCTTGACCTGCACTCTAGGTAGGGGAATAAAAACATACTCCTTAGGAAATTAATAATAACAGGCCTGCCCTCACACGAATTTGCACTTCAAATTTACATTGCCCAAATGATCCAAGAATCTCTAAGCAATGAAATTAGCATGCATGTGCACCTGGATAAGCAAAGGCTTTGGGGGCACCTGGCAGAAATAAAAGAAAAATCACTTTTGAGAGACTCTTCCTCAACTGTAGCTTCATAGGCATCTCAAGCTAAAGCGCCACTGAAGGCGAGCTCACAATCCACAATTATAAAACACATGAGGAAGCAATTCACTACAGAGTCAATGAACACATAAATAGCACAAGCAGGTCATCCTTTTGATCTGTGTAAAAACACCAATAAAATAGAACTGAATGGATGTTTCTTTAACATGTTTACTAAAAATACTATGTCGCTTATTTGGGAAACAGACGTGGTGTCTTGCACCTTCTTAAGAGGACACCAGTCCTCCTATATGCCCTGATAAAACACTGTCAGAAAGAAGGGGGTGAGTGGTCATACCTGGAAAGGCACCTGATATGGAACAGAGTGTGTCAACGGACAGTCTGTGTCTGTGACCTATTCCACCTATAGTGTTCTCAAAAAATTTAAGCCAATATATGAAAATTGGTAGGTTTTTATAGAAAATCAAGATTCCAGGTATTCATGAAAAAACCGTAGAACTATTGCTATTGAGCCTACATCAAACAGAGCAAGAAAGGGCATTTGCATTATTTACAGAGAACACATGATCTTCTAGATCCACACTGCCCACCAATTCCTATTCCTGCCATTGCTCAGTAAGGCTACTTGTTTGTCCCCTGTAGGTATCTACATCTGTGACTCCAGATACAGAGAAGAGGGCCAGGTATCAGAGTCGTGACTCAACTCTCTGTTTAGCAGAGCAGGACATCATCACCAATGCTCCTGGGAAAATAAACAAAGCCTCATTCGTATACCAAAGGATGGCCCTTTGCCAAAGAAAGCAGTTATAGTGTTCATCACATGACTTTCTTCCCTGCCAAATTATTATCACAATGATGAAAAGAAAGTCTGTTTACTCAACTTTGAATCCCCAGGATCCAGCACAGTCTCTGGCAATCATGGGTGCTCAAATATCATGGAATAAATGAATGGAAAAACAAATGCATGCATCAAAAGGTTATCAGAGGTTCAGTATACCACTGCCACAGTTCCGCCTGGCCATTAATTTTTGCGTATCTCCTTTAAACACCAAGTGGATATGATAATGCCATGTTCCACTTAGATTATAATTTTGTTCTCAAAATACAAAGAAAACACTTTCTGGCAACACCAAGTAAAAGGTTAGCAGCAGGAGATAAAAGTACCACTTTTCATAGTTAATTCCCCAAAAGCCACAACAGGTACTCGGGTTGGTTTCCTTGTTGGTTTTTACCTTTGGACAACGTGGTTGAAACACAACTCTGCCTGCAAGGGCCGCTGTAGGTTCTTCAGGCAGCATCCCTTCAGCAACTTCACTAAGCACTCGTCATCTACAGAGTAGTCACTCAAGTCTTAAGCAAAACAAACACACAAAATGACATAAAAAAAGAAAAACTTAAAAAAAATCCTAATTAAGAGGAAGAACCAGCAGCTATTTGTTTTTTCAGAGGAATCATTTTAAAAGATGGAAAATATTTTTAGCATTTGTTAAGCCTCACTAAATAAAACACAATTAAAATACTTTAAATTAAAAGAATGAGTTTACCACATTAACACACCATTTTATTAAGGGGTTCATTCTATCCAATTAAGTTTTTTTCAGTTGCTCATACTTGACCTTAGATGTAATACATACACAACCTTAGATGTAGTAATAGGAAATCTGAACTCTAAATAAAGTAAGAGCTTTATTAATTCTATAAAAGGCAAAGCCATAAGGAGCAAGAAGGCTACCTCCTCCTGTGGTTCTGGCTTCTAACTGTGCTGGCTTCATGAACAAGAGGATAACACTTCCATATGGAGAGGCAGATGGCTTTCTACCCATTAAAAATTCAGGAATTAGAATACCCTCTCTAGATCACTATGTTTACAACTTACCAATTCTCTCAGGTTATGTTCTTTTGGGGGAAATTATGTCATAAAATTAAGACAAAATGGTTCTGAAGTACATGAAAGGTACCTAAAATCCTCACACTTTCCAATGCTTGAGGCTAATGTAAAGGTTTTTCTTTCACCACTTTTTCCCTTTTGAAAATGACTCTTCCCCTTCTACAGCCCAAGGCTATAGAATATTAAACAGAAGGAGCCATATGATGTGTGACATCAATCTGACAAAGGTAGCCATTTCACATCTACCAGGTTTGAATTTTGGTGCAACTAAGAAGTCATCCCCAGAGAGACTGGTAAGTTACACCTTTCAGGGTAGGACCACACAGGGGTCGAGGGAGCAGCAAACCAAACTAATGAGGCCCTGGGAGACCCTCACATGGAAATCCTCCTGCTTTCAGTACAAACCCCAGAAATCCCCATTAATCCATGCTGATGTTTTAGTTAGTAAATTGCTTTTCTATGGGAGGTTAAGAATGTTACTTAACCACCTAGAAGGGGGTCACTTTATTTCTAAGTGCTGACAACAGCTGATATTTGCTTCTTACTTCCAAGCTCTGATGGGTCATTCACCAAGAAAATCACAGATATCAGTATCCCTTACCTTTCCCATTACTTAAGGACCATTTTTCTACCAATGTGTATACACACACACACTTTATGCTTCTATAGATGCTCACTGAAATACACATGCAAGAAGCAGTATCTTCCCCAAGCTTAGAACCACACCCCTACGGATCCATGCCAGATACTGGTTTTTAGTATCATTTCTGCGCATTTTATTGAGTTTTGTGCAGCATGTTTGTGACAGTTTGTGTTGTCCAGTGAACAATGATTTTGCTGAGGAACAGATGTAACACCATGCTAAGTCCAAGTACCTGAAAAGGCACACTTAGCTTTTATTTAGATCATGAGTTGGAGATGTGGGAAATGGGTTCAAAAAAAGCACACGCCTCCAAAAGCAGAACCAGTATGTCCTCAGACCACAGGGCACTTACCTGCCAGACGCTGACCCTCCCTTACAATAGGAAGGCTGTATCATGAGTGTCAACACCATGGGGGTTCACGGACGAACACTTCAACACATGGCCCCCATTTCACATTCCAAGAAAATTATACAATAATGTTGCCAAAGCACACTTTCATCACAAAAGCTCTGAACTTGATGAATAATAAACCAAATGGCCAGTTGAAGGAAAAGGAAGCTGGAGGCTCATATGCAAAAATGCTGATGTTGAACTTCTTAGAAACCAGTTGAAATGTACCAAAGGAAAAACATGAAAACAGATCTATGAAGTGTAAAGCCATAAAGTCAACAAACACTTCCCCTTTTATGTAGCTCAGATAACGTTCACTCTATAATGTCATCAAGCAAATGAACTGCAGCAAACGCTTACAGAACTACTGTACAACTTCTGGCTACCCGTGGAATTTAGTTAGATTTCAAATGAAACACTAATAGCAAACACTGATCCCAGTCATATTACTAAGTGTTTTTCTCTCCTTTAACTGTGTTCTCCCCTTTGCATCCAGCAACCAGCCTTACATGCTATGGCATTGTCAGAGCAGAACACCAACTGTCCTCTACCATCTTCTACTTTAGAAACACTTGCCAAAGACACGAAAGGCAGGGGAGGGACACTCAAGTCCCTTCAGGTTAACATTCACTCTATTTCCGACTTTGGATTTTTTTTCCGCCCTCATTCTGAAGGAGAGGAGCTTAATTACTAAAAGGTCACAACAGCTGGGGATGGGCAGGGGGGAGGAAACTGTAATCTTCCTGCATAACACAATGAACCTGGAAGGGACCTTCATAAATTTCATGTACAACATCTGGCAAAGGTGATCTTCAGAAAAGAAGCCAGATTTTTCCTCCAGGGGAACACATACAAAGAATTGTATGAAGTACAGTATGTCTGTCTATGCTTCCCCCAACCCAGTTTAAATGTGTCTAAAGACTATCATCTCAATACGTCATTAAAAAAGGAATGGGGAAACCAGCATGGTTTTCCAAACCCCTACTGTATTTTACATGCATAGTCTGATAAACCTATTACTCCTGTACTTCCTCCCCCAGCCAAAGGGGAGGGCAAAAGCAACTCAGGTGTTGGGAACGAAGAACCTGCTCAAATTGAGGAAAACCCAGTGGTCCTTCAGGACTTCTTAATACACAAAGTCCTGCTCTCTGGTGGTTAGTCTGTACTACAAAAGATGGACACTCAAACATCAGAATTTATGCTATGGAACCAAAGCCTTTATCTTTGTAGGAACACAGAAGAAAAAAGCTGGTCTAATTTTCTGGGGTACAAAACACCATAATGAATATTTTCATTTAATAAAAGGAAGTTTTCCTTTACCTTCCAGTTTTCACATATCCATTTATTTTGAAACATTCAAGTTTCCATTTTATTTGTGGCTATGTGGGTCTAATTATAGGTAGTCCCCTCAGTGGCAGGAATAATCCTTTCTCTGCCAATCATAATTCTTTATCTCGTATTGAAAAAATCTAAGAGTGTTCAAATGAGCAAATTAATTATAAGTGGCCAAATTAGTTGAACAAAAATGAACACTAGTAAATTTATTCAAAAACCAAGTGGATTTTTATTGTTCATTTTGTAAAATCTCATTTTTTAAGATGAACTTTCATGGAGTTTCATTTCATTTAAACTTCAAAACGATGTGACCTTATGTTGACTTTCCACTCAAATCAAAATGAAATATTTTTTCTTTTTGAAAATATTTAGAATTAAAAATAGTAAAGATCACCTCATACCCATTAGGATGGCTATGACAAAAATAAACAAACAGGAAATTATGAGTGTTGGCAAGGATGTGGAGAACCTGGAACTCTTGGGCATTGTTCTTGGGAATGTAAGATGGTGCAGCCATTATAGAAAAGAGTTTCGCAGTTGCTCAATAACCTAAAAATAGAAATGCCATATGATTCAGCAATTCTGCTTCAGGGAATGTATCTAATATAATTAAAAGCAGGGTCTCAAAAAACTATTTTCATACCCACATTCATAGAGGTATTATTCACAGTAGCCAAAGCAACCCAAAAATGAATCAAAGAATGAACAGATTCAAAAATGTGGTATATATATCCAATGGAATGTCATGCAGTCTTAGAAAAGGGCAATTCTGATACATGCTACAACATGGAGTTACTTTGCGGACATCATGCTAAGTGAAGTACGCTAGTCACAAAAAGAAAAACACTGTATGATTCCACTTACATGAAGTCTCAAGTAGTCAAATTCACAGTGACAAAAAGTAGAATAGTAGCTGCCAAGGGCTGGGAGGAGGGGTAAATGGGGAGTTGTTTTATGAGTATGAAAAAGTTCTGGAGACTGGTTTCACAACCATGTGAATGTACTTAACACTACTGTACAGTTTAAAATAGTTCACCATGTAAATGTTATGTGATGTGCAATTTACTACAGTTAAAAAGATGTAACTGTAAAAAAAAAATAGTAAGGGAGATTATCCCAACTCTATACGAGTAAAGAAATGTTAGTGATGGAACATCTAGATGGAACAAAGTCTGAAATGTCTGTATAGTGAGACTGTCACCTGTACTCACACATGGGTTCCTTTGATTGTTCAGCAGTACAAACTTTGGACTTTTCTTTTTGATCCCAGTTTCTTGAGCCTTCTTATTTACTTGTCACAAAAATCAAAAGGAATTATCAGCCCATGAAGATGAGTAACTTGGTGGTCTGGCTAATTTACCTAAGCTCCAGCTCATAAGGGGTTGAAATATTACAACATTTTTGCAAAAAAGAGTGAAAAAACGTGGCTAGGAAGAATCAATATCATCAAAATGGCCATCCTGCCCAAAGCAATATACAGATTTGATGCAATCCCTCTCAAATTACCAGCAACATTCTTCAATGAATTGGAACAAATAATTCAAAAATTCATATGGAAACACCAAAGACCCCAAATAGCCAAAGCAATCCTGAGAAAGAAGAATAAAGTAGGGGGGATCTCACTCCCCAACTTCAAGCTCTACTATAAAGCCATAGTAATCAAGACAATTTGGTACTGGCACAAGAACAGAGCCACAGACCAGTGGAACAGACTAGAGACTCCAGACATTAACCCAAACATATATGGTCAATTAATATTTGATAAAGGAGCCATGGACATACAATGGCGAAATGACAGTCTCTTCAACAGATGGTGCTGGCAAAACTGGACAGCTACATGTAGGAGAATGAAACTGGACCATTGTCTAACCCCATATACAAAAGTAAATTCAAAATGGATCAAAGACCTGAATGTAAGTCATGAAACCATTAAACTCA